GAGTGGCAGTTTCCCACAATGGAGAACAGTATTAAAGACTGTTAAAAATACAGTTGATATTTTACTCATTTTGAATTTAAAGCACAGAGCAGGATATTATACTGTGCAGTGATGGCATTGCTGCAGACAAAGGCCACACTGTACATTATAATGCACAAAGAAATAAGGAACAAAATCATTGGAGAATTAATGACACTGAGAATCTCCACCTCAAATAAACTCAGCTGTAAACTTGTAAGAAGTTTCATGATCCTGTGTGTCAAACACACAGCCCCTTAGTGAATGAAACAGCCAAAGGACAAAATGCTCATTGCCAGTCTATGCTGCAGGTATTGAGGTATAAAACTGCAGCGTAGATTGGAGAGGAGAATTTTGCCCTTAGATCCTATAAACATCATTATAAACGCAACCCATCAGTCAAGACGTTCCCAGTAATGATGTAATAATGTACAAATGTGTGAACAATTTGGGCTACTGACATTCTATCCAACACAGATTATATAAACTAAACTCTAACCTTCCACATAAAATCAGGGCATAGGACATACAATTAGAAAATCAATTTCATGTGCCATTCCCTTAAGTTAATTAAAATATAATGTAGTAATTTCCCTAATACTTTGCTTAATGTTCTCTCTGTATGGGCTCATTCCTATAATGCTTACACACGTATAACCTCCACTGATGTCAGAGTTACGTTCACATTAGGAGAGTAGGATGAACACCAAGCCCATAGCTTCCACTGATATTAATGGGAGTTATGCATGTATATGGAGAGGAAAATAGACTCTTTATTTATCCCATTACAGTCTGAGCTCATTCAATGGGTTAATGCAAAGCTTCTTTTGACCCTTGCAGCCTCCCCTTGCCCCAAATAATCCGTTGGCGCATCTCTGCAGATTATTTAAAATGTATTAAAGTTGACAATGCATACTTTTAAAAAAACCCTGCAGGGTTTACTTAGAAAAATACACTGTCATGAAAGGTATAAAGAGGAATAGTATACGCTGGCGGGAATCCTCTAGGAACAAAAGTTAAATATTAATTGAAATACACTTTACAAACTGTTTGCAGTCATAAGAGTTTGATCCTATAAGTCTTCCATGGGCATGATCCATAGCACACTGAAATCAATGGGATTCTTTCCACTGACTTCAGTAGGGTGTGTTTCAGTGTAGAACTGCCACTGAAGACCTCAATGTCAGTTTCTTGCATGGAGCTGTTTGTAGGAAGAGGCCCTAGATCAGTAAGGGGCAGATCTTCCCACCCAAGAGAGAGTCTTGGAAGGGTATGGGAAGGAGCCTGGCAGTACAGCTCCAACTAAGGCCAGAAACCCCACGAGTTCATGAAGCCAGTGCAAAGGCACAGGAACTCCAAGTAGACAGCCCTAACCTTTGTGGACTGCCAAGTTTTAGGGGATCCACTGATTCTAGGGATGGAACAGAGAGGAGCGGGAAACCCATTTATTTTATCTGCCCCAGAGACAAGTTTTGTGGGTGTAAACTCATGAGGTTCACTGTCCAAGCTGTGGGAGTGGCCAGCATCTGGGACAGCAGAACTATGATCCTGTACTTTACAGTTGATTAAAAGTGATCCTATCCTCATCTTCTCCCCCATACTGTGATATGAGATGTAAATGTTTTCAATATACAAAGCATGCATTGGACAAAAATACCTTTGCAGTACAAGGGTGTGGATATTAGCAGCTGAAACATCTAATGATTATTGCAATGAATTCTAATCCTCATCATATAAGACACATAATCATGATATGCAGTGTTGTTGTAGCTGTGTTGGTACCAAGGTATTAGAGAGACAAGGTGGGTGAGGTAATATCAGTTGGTCCAATAAAAGACATTACCTCATCCACCTTGTCTCTCTAAAAGAGTGGCTAGTTATTGTTCTCAGCCCATTCAAATGTTATCTGGCAGCTAGCAAGTAGTTACATCACAATTCCCAAAGGATCATGGTTTTAAAAAATCCTGTAATGAAACTTTACATAACTTCCTTTAAGCAAAACCTCAAAGCTCTTCTCTGCCCAGGACAGGGATATTTATGACAATTTACCATGACCAAGAAACTCAATAGTATGACTGATTCTGTTACAAATGAATAAAAATCTGCCTGGTGTCTGGTTTTAAAAGGTAAAGTAAAGTATGTTTGATTAAAAATATAAATTATCCTTCTCAATGACTCGGGGGTTTAAGGATGTGGGATTTTCTGTAGAGAAAGAAGGACATCTATGGCAGAAAGGTAAAAGCCCTTACAGGGCCTAATACTGCTCCTAGGGAATCTTTCTATTGACTTCAATGGCTTGAATCAGGCAGCTACTGAAAGCCATAGCAAAACTCCCATTCACTTCAGTTGGAACAAAGATAGGGCTCAAAGTCTGTACACTTTTAGAAAAAAATATATAAACGCACAAATCTTCTAATCAAGGAGAAGTTATGAAACTCATAAAAATGGCTAAAATGTTGGTTAAGTCTCTCCAAAGTAAAAATTAATTTGTTTTAAATAATTGCTTGGTTTGTTCAATTTTTGATTAGAAGACTCTTTTGAGCATCCATTTAAGTGCTCGTGCCGTATTATTAGGAAAAGCAATGAATGGATGAGGGGCAAAGGCATCTTGGAGTGGAGTCTGACAAACATGATGCAGAATTCATTGATTTCTATAGCACAGTGCATTCAGCATGCTACAAAAACAATATGGGAATTATCCTGATTTGCTGTAGAACACTGTAGGATAACAATGCATTTTAATGTAGATATATTTTTTGCTAGGTTGATAGGAAAGTTAGAACCCTCATTGATATTGGAGATAATATTTTCAAAAGCTAAAGGATTGTTGTACACTACACAAAACACAAACAAAATGAGTCTGATTCTCAGTTACATTGAGGACCTTTGACACTGACTTAGCAGTGTAAAAGGAGCCTTAAAGTAGGTGTAAATGTAACTTACACCCAAATTACAGCCCTTTTGCACTGCCAGACTAGTGTAAAAGGGCCAAAGTGTAACTGAGAATCCAGCCTTATGTTTTCATCAAAGACACAGATTCTTCTGTGTGTCTCAAAGCTCCTTCAGAAGTGCCTTTTTATCTGGGTACAATTCACTGTGTATATGTGTGGCAGGATAACTTTACAGCGAATGGACACAGAGCCCTAACATCCAGATTTTTTTTAAGAGCAAACAACCAGCCTGTCACCATCTCTTCAATATAGTTACTATCAGTTATAATTGTCTTCACAAGGTTTGCTGGAAATAATATTCATGCTTGCACATGGGCATGCGTACACACACGCACACTGTCTTTCTCTCTCCCCGCTGCCCTCCACCCCCTCCAATAATGATCTCATTTATTCCTGCAATATCACGGAAATTCAGGGTTTAAGCACTAGCATGAGTTCAAAAAACATTTATTTGTGAAAATATTTTACTTATAATTGTTATGAGTTATATCTTAGGCCTTTTATACCCTAGAAAGTTGCACTGTTTTAACGATACAAGTATAGTTAAAGTGGAACATACCCCATTGTGTGGATGCAGTTATATCAGTAACTATAACTATGCTATAGTTATTCCCATTTGAGAAGGAGATTAAGCTATACCAATAGCAAGCACCTTTATACTGGTGCAAATGCATTCACACTAGGGCTTGTACAGGAATAACTGTATTAGTAAAACAAAAATCAATCACACTGCCTAAGGGACAGTCACTTTCAAGTGTAAACCAGAAACTAGAGCATGAAGAGCCCAGTGGAGCTGCAGCCATTTATACCAGATGAAGATCTGGCCCTAAAAGTGAAAGCAATAAAAAAAAAAAAAGCTGCTACTTCGTAATTTGTTTACTACTTGTATTTTAGTCTGCTTTCTGCATAGCCAGCCTCCCTTCTGTACCAATGAACATTATTCTCAATTCTCATGCATTAACTTGACATCTAAGGTCTGATGCAGCTTCTGTTGGAGTCAATGGGAGTTTTGCCACTGAATCATCCAGAATTCCTCGTGTTCCAGCTCATGTCATGGCTTAGAAGAGCTTCAATCAAGCACTAATATTATTAGAATGACAACAGAAAGCATAAGGTAATACTTTAGATATTTCAAAAGTGTGAGCATTCTCCAGGCAGTTCAAGAGGGGATGATTAATTGGATTGCAAGTGAAGAAATAAAGCCTCCTCATCCAGAAAACATCACTTCTTCCTCTCCACATGGCCTTCTAATAACATGCAGTTCAGTAACATATGAAGTAACGTTACTTGACGTTTCCTCACTTGCAGCACTGACTGTTAAATATAACTTCTGAACAGCATTAGATGGAAATGGGTGCCTGCGGGAGGTCTGCCGGTCCTGCGGTTTCGGTGGCAATTCAGCGGCGGGTACACCAAAGATGTGGGACCGGCAGATCACCCGCAGAAACCCCGCAGAATCCGCGTGACCGCGGCCTGCCCGCAGGCCTCCTGTCTGCCGTGCTTGGGGCGGCAAAAAACATAGAGCCGCCCCTAGTTAGACTACATCCATCCCTCCGACTTTTAGATTATCCAGACCATCCCCTATGTAACTCTGCTCACAAAAGTACCTTTGCAGTATGAACAGAACAGAAATATCACTGATGTATCTGATCACTGAATTGTCTACTTTAAAAAGCAGCATATTAATTTAGAGTCTGTTGTCTCTTTCACTGTTGAGTATTTATATTTGTCACATGGGCATTCTTGGCAAAAACAAAAAAAACAGCCCAACAAATACAATCGGAGTTGCTGTATTTATGTCAGATGAAATAATTTCCATACAGTGACACTGTAGTACTGTCAACCTCCTCTCGAAATTCCCAATGGGAGTTTCAGAGGTTTCTATGGTTTTGTTAAATATTGACTTTTCCAAACTAAGTAATTTGCACTCTCTCTCTGTTTTAGTGGGTTAGACACCTAGGGACTTTGTGCTTTCTTCATCTTAAAGCCCTGATGCAAGCAAACCTGATTTCATTGGGCATAACTCATGCATAAGGGCTTCAGAACTGGGCAATTAAGAGCCAACAACTGGTGGTGGCAGTACTGTACAAGTGGAAAAAGAAGAGTGAAGAACTGTGGATGGACATGTATATAGATGAGAGCAAGGAAAAAGGAGAGGACAAAGTAGCAAACTGATTTCATGTGGCAAACGAAGCTGTGCAATCTCATGAGCATGAGTTGTGATTGGGATTTGCTGCTAGTTATAGTATTTGGATACATTACAAGGCACCTGTGTAAAATAATAGCCACCGTCATTTGAAATGATTAGTACCACAAGCCCACATATTATACTGTGTATGTAGTGTAGCTTTTGGCTAGGCTAAATACTGTAGCGAATTAGGCCAAATAGGTATCTAAAACAATGCAGTTGTCTGTGTAGAAACAATTATGTTTTCTTCCAGATTTTTATTTGGTCTGTCTGGAATTCACAACAAGAGGAAAGAGTTTTAAAAATGTAATGGCCCTGAAGGATATTTCTAGGAGTAGGAATAGTGGGCGTATGTATTATCCTCTGAGGCAAGGCATCAGATCATATTTTGGGATATAAATTTAGTGGCCTGCGTCTAGCTCCTGTTAATCATTTATCCACAATGAAAAGCCAGAACAAAATATTGCACAATTTGACAGGATGTTGGCACTCTATGACTGACAGAGATCCAGGGCTAAAATAGCAGAGGAGTCAGGGTGAAATGAGCTGTACCGGGAAGGATTTGGTGCCCATCTGTACAATACCCCTGGTGGCCAGTGCTATTAGTTTCCCACTTTCATGAGCACTAAAATTCAAGACTAATCTTTAAAATATGTTTTTGAAAACAGCTTAAGAAAGGCTAATGAGCATAGGTGTTTAAGTGAAAAAGGCCTGCTGTTACTGTCCTTGGGCTTGCAGGGCAGTTTTGTTGAATGACCGAAGAATGCAGGATTGAGCCTTAAATTATTTCAATAAGCCCCTGCTTTCCTTACACCTTCCAGTGAGTCACCACTGGGATTCAGAAAACAAGTGATTGTAATGCTCTATGGTTAGCCCCTTTGCTGTTGTGTCACAATGCAGTGAACGTAATGGCGCATCAAAGTAATGCGATTGGTACAAGGGGCAGCACCTGATGGCATCTGTGGCAGAAAACTAAGTCTGTTTGGCAACACTCCAAGAGTTAATTCCCAATATAAGTCTAACACATTGTCAAATTACATGCTATTTTCAAACACCACCTAGGTGTTCTTGAGGAAATGTATGACATTCTAAGTGAAAACCCTCTTTAATTCTTGTTATAACATTCTTATTTCTGTTAAATACATTTATATCTTCTTGTTCTCTCTGCTTCAACAAAATTCATGAGAGAATGATCACTAAAGGCATAAGTACATTAACAACATACGAACATTCCATGTTCTTACCTGCACAGGCATAGCCCAAAGGTTAGGGCAGAGGAAGAAGAACCACATCAGTTGGTTTGTATCTATGGCAACCAGGTTACAGATCTGGCCTGCAGACATTTCCCCCATAGACATGTTCGAAGTGGACAGTTGCATAATCTTATTGTATATTTTTGTCTGGAAATTAGAACATTAAGTTTCATGTTCAGAGAAAAATCAGACAGCACTGACTGCTTTACATTACCATTAAAATGGCTTGATTTCTATGTTGTAGAGCAGTGGTTCCCAAACTTGTTCTGCCGCTTGTGCAGGGAAAGCCCCTGGCGGGCCGGGCCGGTTTGTTTGCCTGCCGCATCCGCAGGTTCGGCCGATCGCGGCTCCCACTGGCCGCGGATCGCTGCTCCAGGCCAATGGGAGCTGCTGGAAGCAGTGGCCAGTACGTCCCTCGGCCCACGCCGCTTCCAGCAGCTCCCATTGGCC